ATGCAAAGACATACAAAATATTAACTCTGGAAATTTTGCCCCTGTTCGCCTTTCTTTTTACGAATTGGGCCCAAATTGTCAATGCATAAACCAAGAACCGTTTCAGGAACACAAATCAAAATGCTCTTGCCTGTCTGAAATTGAGCGTGACGTTCTTTACTGCTTAAATATTGGAAGAGAGCTGTACGTTAGTCATATATCTGGACGAGATGTAAGCCTAATCTATTTTAATGAACCATGTTGCAGGATAACGATAACCTGTGTATGAATGATAAGAGGGCTTTTAAGTCCACAACTCCTACCTGTCATCAATTTAACAAATCAATTCTATGTCCTTCGTCGATTCGCCTCTTAGTTGGTTTTTCAGGAGGTGAGATCCAAGTCCTTGATGCCCTTCGCAAAGACTTCTGTAAATTCTTCAATGAAGACGTAAGCTAAATCATAGTACATTTACCATTATTCAGAAAACAATTGATAAGACTGCGGTAAATTGCCTGAGGTGGATTCCTGATTCTCCTCATCACTTTATTGTTGGTCATGCCAGTGGAAACATGTACCTCTACGGTGAGGATCTTCCGAACGGAAATGCCCCTCCATCCTACACTCAATTTAAAAAGGGTGCAGGGTTCGTTATTTATACATGTAAAACCAAGTCAACACGCAATCCTTTGTACAGATGGCATTTAACCAGTAATTCGTCAACTGGAACAGTAAGTGCTGCTAGCCTCGATCTGCCTGTATTTGGATCTAGGCTAACACAAGAGGATCTAATTAATGGAGACTCTCTAAGCCATAAGCATGCATTCTATGAATATTCTATGTCAGCTGCTTGCGCTGCGATCAATGAGTTTTCTTTTTCTCCCTGTGGTCAATATTTGTCAGTTGTAACTCAGGACGGCTACATGCGTGTTTTTAATTACCATAAGATGGAACTTTACGTAAGCCCCCTTTATTATTTAATCACTTTAAACTGAATTGGCTTCATAAGGTCGATTTGCTATTCGTTCTAGGGTTTCATGAAATCATATTTTGGTGGATTGTTTTGTGTTGATTGGTCTCCAGATGGAAGCTTCATTGCAGTTGGAGGTCAAGATGATTTAATCACTATATGGTCCTTTGTTGACCGTGCTGTCATCTGCCGTGGTCAAGGACATCGTTCGTGGATCACCGCTGTCCGATTTGATCCTTTCTTGTGTCCAACTTCTCTACCTCGTGATAAGAAATATCCGAAAATTGAGGCTTTGGACCTCAGAAGTACGGCAGAAATTTGTGAAAAAGTAAACGAAGGAGGTTATCTCACCTATAATACCAGATTCCGAATGCATTCACAATCACGCCTCAATAATGGCCTAGGAATATCTGACAATCAACAAGGTGCCTCAAATCATCAAGATCGATCTAATAACCTGGATCTAAACTGCAAATTGCCCGCCACTTTTAAGCCGCAAGAGCAACGAGATGCGATCGTATCAAGTAATCCTGTTTCGCTAAGGTCTCTTCAATCAAGCAGCTCTGGTATGCGGACCTATCGGTGAGTTGTTTGGCCCTGGTAGCCTGTGGTTATATATACTCTTTCTTGATGAATATATTTTAAATTAAATTTCTTACATGCTATTAAAAAAGGTTAAAAAATCTGGACGAAATTAAATTCTTCTCTGTGTTGCGTTATTGCTGTAATTTTGCTAGATTTATATTTCAGCCGCTAAAATTGCGCACTAACATTAAAGCTTGCCAATTCTTTTATA